CTTCTCCAATCGCGTCCCCGGACCGCAAAACTGATATCCGGGAATATGTAGTTCGAAGGGAAGCGCGTTTATCGCACGATTTAGTAAGCCTCTCGACGGCATTCGCTACAATTCTTTATCAAAGGCGCCGGGCCGTCGACATGCGTTTGATGAGTCGGCAAATTATAATGCTTCAGGCATCGACGGTATCGCTGTACCTCCGAATCTGCTCGTATATACTCGGGTAATCTGTCACACAACAGATCTATACAATATTCAAATTGTCGCAGCAGTACAATTTTCGGTATGTATTCCAGCTCTTTTGAAGTTAAACTATGCAAATCGTCTGACACGACGAGAAACATTTTGAGTACTGAGCGATTTCGCTCTACGCAGCTCTATAAATAGATCCGCTCGCGATATCGTTTTCAGTATTTCGTAGAAGGAGAAAATATGCGATTCGTGCGCCAATCGCGGGTGATTAAAGTGATGAATCTCGACGGCAAAGTACCGATAAAGAGACGCGCAAGCATGGCAACATGCTACCGGCCTCTATACGCGCGATCGTCTGCGGACCGTCAAATTGCGGTAAGACGAACGTGTTGATAAGCCTATTGGAAAGTCCGCACGGCGTAAGATTCGAGAACGTTTACGTGTACTCGAAATCGCTGCAACAGCCGAAATACCGATACCTGGCGAATCTGCTAGCTCCTATCGAAGAAATTAGCTATTTTACGTTCTCCAATAACAGCAACGTCATTCCACCGAGCGAGGCGCTTCCGAATTCCATCTTTATCTTTGATGACGTGGCATGCGACAAGCAGGACGCGATAAGAGAGTACTTTGCAATGGAACGGCACGCGGACATCGATTGCTTCTATCTCTGCCAGACGTATGCAAAGATACCCAAACACCTTATCCGCGACAATGCAAATCTATTGATCCTGTTCAAACGGGATGGTACCAATCTGAAACGCGTGTACAACGATCACGTGAATACCGACATGCCGTACGAGAATTTCTGCGATTTATGTCGTAAATGTTGGCAGCAAAAGTATGGATTTCTAGTAATTGACAAGGACAGTGCGCTTACCGATGGGCGATACAGAAAAGGATTTAATGACTTTGCAATACCGTGATGCGATCAGTTGACATCGATACGTTGACATGGACAACAGCAAAGATCGTGAGAAGGTAGCGAAGGAGATTGTGAAAACGAGTGATTCGATTCGCAAAAAATACCGCGCTTTAAAGACTGGTAAAATGAATGAGGACATCGCATTGGGGAGACACTTCAAACATATTGTCGACCCGCTGAAACAGATTGTCGAAAACACCGCTGACTCCTCCAAGGATACAATCAGGACCGAAACAATCTTTTCGGGGGAAGACGAGGAACCAAAACCCAAAAGGAAACGACCGAGTGCTTTGTACGACAATCCTATACAGGCTTCCACGCCTGTAAAATCAATGTTGAATCGATCGAAAACCGTAC